CTTGTGCTTAAATTTCCATCAAACAAAAGCTGACCCCCGATACTTTTTTTCTTCCCTATGACTAGCTTGTGTGTTTACTTCTTACTAGATGCTTATTAGCCACACCTTTTTTAATCGCCTTTTTTATTCTAGATGCCATTTAGAATATAGCTCCTGATATTTTTACTGTTTCTTATAGTGCACATTGTCTTATTGTCTCTTTTTGGCAACCTCAGAAAGTTTCTCGTAATTTTTTAACTCTTCATTCTTAATTTAGTATCGTATCCTGTTTCTATTCACATTTTTTATACCAAGTGATTCTACTCCATTCGTTTTGACAACTATTGCACTATTTGTAGTCGAGCCTTGATATCATTATACAATCTTCATATATAAAATCCTGATATTAAAATCCTCGCTAGTAGTAGTCATCACTACCTTCTTCAGGGAGACCATAATCCTACTCCTGTTTCATTTTAATTTGTTTAATTTTACAGATGTAGCTTGTTCGGTAAAGTGATAAGCATCCATATTTCCTTTTATAGGCTCCTTTTCCGTTTTATCGGACTTTATTTTTAAAATATTGTGGATTCTCACAACGAAATTCTCATCCACTTCTACAAATTTCATAAATAGGAGTTTTTAAGCTCTGTAATAGGAGTATTTCACATCACATTTTTCTATCCATTGTCTGTCTAAATTCTTTCTATTTTATATTTATTTTCTAGACGAACCGATTACAGATAACTGTGAAATCGAGGAGGACAAATCATTAGATCAAATTCGCAAAGAGCCGTATTCCCTTCCCTCTGGCTTCTACTGGTCAAGTGTTGATTTGGACAACTCACACCAAGTGAGTCGATTTATTCGCCTCGACAAAAATCACTGGTATCCAAAAGGTGTCTTTGAGCTTTTTACCATCCAAACAATCGTGTATCTCATTGCGATAACTGGACCTCATACCACTTAGCTTTTCTAAGTGTTTTAAGTTTCAGCTCTTATATATTCATAATCTGTTTTTTAAGTATCCTTGTTGTGAATATTATTGCAAAATTTTTGTTCGGAAGATATTGTTGTCCCTAATACCAAGTCTATGACTTGCTATGCCCTAGTCTCTTGTGTGCCAACCCACAAATGTTGTGGTACTGCTCGCTTTGGTTATTTTCAATGTGGAACCACAACGTTGGTGGGTTGGCACACAAGAGAATAGGGCATAGCAAGTCATAGATTTGGTATTAGGGGTAGAAACAGGATAGACACGGCGGAGACCGTAGCTAGTTGGCAGACGGTAGGTCGGTTGTACCAGAGACGTGGTCCATGTAGAAAAGGGGTGATGATGGCATTCAGAGGCTTGAGCCTCGAATTAGTCACCCGGACGCAGGTGAGGGCGAATATCACTTTGAGTAGGACAGATGTGGCGAAAGGAGTGGAGTGAGATAGGTGAACAAGGGGTATAGCAGACGGATTTTACGGAGCAAGAGAGAGACTGAGATAAGACTAGGGAAG